AAATTTGAAATTCAGCCATATTCTATCGAGGCTTTATCCAAAAAAGCACACCCGGAACTTGACAACTGGCTTGTGCACGCCTGTTTAGGGTTTCGATGTAGGGTTGAAACTCAGGGTTAGGTCCCATAGAAGCTATCTTGTGAATTGTCTTCTGCTTGCTCGAGTGGTGGGTGGTCCTTCTTGCCGTGATCAAGAATCGTGCCGTTGTGCAACATGTGTCTCGTGCGACTACACTTACAAGTCGAACAACAGCCAACACTTTGATATCAGTATCAGTACCAAAAATATATCCTTATCCAGCAGATGTGCCTCAAAAGGCGGCTCTTCCTCCTTGGTGGATCATGACGGAAAAATCCGTTTGTGTGAGGATTTGCCATTGGCAGAACAGGCTCTGGGGTAAGGCTTGAGCATTCACTCGGCGACGTGCGTTAGGGAGGGTTGTTTTTGAGGCTTAATCCCCAAGCCCTAAACCCTAATAAACCCCTTAGCCCGAAACCTCAAACCCCATAACCCGCAACTCTAAAACCCTACCCTAAACTCCTGAACCCAGAAAGCCAAACCCCGAAGCATCTAGCGCTGACTCATGAATAGCTTTGCGAAGGGCTCCGCATCGGTTTCTCCACCATGGCGTCATTCTACCCTAGCACTTAGATCTGAACCCCTTTTTGCTGCTGGACTCAAGTCTAGCCGAATCCTAAAACACCCCTAAAAACGATCAATCCTCAAATGTCCTCCACGATCAAACTTGGGTCAAGGTTCGAAGTCGCCAATGTGCGAGAACTCATTGGAGGGGAAAGCATCCTTGTCAACCACCTGCCGCGGAGGGGTTTAGGGTTCAGTGGCTTCTACCGTGTGGCTTCAAAGTTTCCACCCTCAGAGGCCCCAAGAGACCCCTACGTCAACCCCTTCGCGCTAAATGCTACAGTAAGCCCCGCAAGCCTTGAACACACTCAGTTCTTTCGCCAGGGATGTGGTGGGGAGTTGCCTCACTCACTCTCTCTCTCCTTGACAACCCTCAAACCCTTAAGGTCTGAAGTGTTTTCACCCTAAACCTGCACGTCCTCAAAACCCAAACCTTCCAACTAAACCCAAAGCAGCGCTAAACCCCCAAGCCGCGCGTCCACCCTCCAGGGAGTGGCTTAAAGTATTGAAACTAAGTCGCGGAAAGCATCCAAGAATAATTCTCAAACCTAAGTGGCTCAAGGCTTAAGGGTTGAGGCGTTGAGGCAAGGGCTCGGGGCCCTTAAAAAACAACCCAACGCCCAAGCCTTCGAAGCCCAACTACACAGAATGCCCCAGGCCTTCACGCGGGTGGTGCTTCCGTAGCGGCCGAGCTGGGCATTCCTTTGCATCTCACCGTTTTTGTTACTTTTGGGGGTCCTTGTCCAACGCGGCATGAGGTTGCTGGGGTGGCCTGAGTGTGCGAGCTTGGTTTCGTGATTCAGAATAATTCCCACCTCGTCATTAGCCCGCTAACCAAGTACCGTGAAAACCAACCTTACAAATTGCGGTACATGATCCCTTTGGACTACAGCTCTAAAACCTCTTTGCTTGAAATTGCCCAAAGCCTTACAGGGCGGAAAAACAAGCTGCAACCCTCACTTTCATGACAGGACCGCCGTCGATTCTCGGCATGGCTGGTGGTACTACCGGACAGTGAGGTGGGCATTTGTTACGGTTTCTGATCATCTAAACTCATGCGGAGTAGTCGGGATTGTAAGAGTTTTCACAGTGTGAAGATCAGGAGGCCTTTCCAGTTCCGAGTGCCACCCCCATCGGGCCATAGTGCTGCCGGGTCACACCAAGCCGTCCTCTTTAAGCATCACGCCGAAGTCGAGAATGGAAGACCAGTTGTCGTTGCGTTGCAAATGCACCTGGGTTGAAGGCTCAGAAGTTTCGGGGTCCGAATATGTAACCAACGTATTCCCTTGGAGCTCCTATGTCATCATAGCAACACAGAGCCCAAGACCCGGCTCTAAGTACTCGGGACTTTGAACTACCTGTTTGCAGAAAGCACACGTGCAGCAACTCCGGGCACTTTCCAGGTTTGAGGGTTTATCTCGTCAACTAGGCACCGCCAGGGTTTGGGGCTTTGGGGCTTTCAGAACCCTCAGGATGTGCTGTCTCCTCGTCAACCTGCAGGAGCTCTGGATTTTGGATTTAAATTCTCGAGGCCCGGACACCCCCACGTGATTATGGTTTTTACGGTTGGGGCTTGGTGGAAAGATCAGCGCCTGTGCCATTGCTTGCAGCCTGAACTCTGAAATGGAGAGCTCAGCAAGCCGAGACAGAACGTCAACTCTTATGCCTCTGTGTCGCAAAGCTTCCGCTCCAAAACGCTGTACCCCAATGTCAGCTAATCCACCAGGATCTGCTTCGCACCGTCCCCAGGCCCGAAATGGAGCGTGCCCTCGGCGTGCTCGAAGATTTGGCTGGCCTTCCGTTCAACGGACGGAATGCTTTCACCGACACGAAAACCGAAATCATCTCATCGGTAGTGTGCCGTCATCACTGAAAACCGACAACTGCCACACATAGTAGCAATACAACTGATCTGCAACTTTTGTGGTTGTCCCAACTGGTGTGACTGCTGTGAGCTCCGGATCTGAACGATACGCTTACCGCAAGCTTCGCAGCATTCGATTGCGAAAACCGCGGTATCAAGGCCGGGCTTGAAAAAATGGTGCTGGTGCTGACGACGATGATGATGATG